CTCTCAGGAAAACCTCTGGAGGACTTCCCAGGCAGGCAGGAAAGACAGAGGTCCTCTGGACTTTGACGTTATCACAGACAGCAGGTCGGTAGACATGTCTGACTGGGGCTGAGTGCCTTGCTGAGGTAACAGATGGGCAGTTTCCAGTGTGAAGCTGGACAGAATCAGCAGACATTCAATGAAGAAGACAGACTTTATTATTTTTAAAGTTTATTTGAGAGAGAGACAGACAGACAGAGCACGTGCAGAAGGGGCAGAGACAGAGGGAGAGAGAATCCCAAGCAGGCTCCGCACAGTCAGCAGAAGGCTGACGCGGGGCTCGAACTTATGAACCATGGAATTATAACCTGAGCCGAAACCAAGGGTCGGCCGCTCACCGACTGAGCCAACCCAGGCGCCCCTATTATTTTTAATTTTGTGATCCAGGAAAATGAACTGCTATGCCAATGAGAAAAACAAATCTTAATTCTGCCTTAAGAAAAAGGTGGAAACTCAATCTCCAAAGAAAATCTTTTTCTACCAGCAAGGGATGTCTTACGGGTCAGTAGATCTGAGGACGGTGATTTACAAGATCACAAGATCACTTGTTACAGACTTGCTGCCACACAAATTCTGGCTATCAGTCAGGAACCCAAATGTCAGAGCCCGGAGACCCCTATCTCTCAGGTGCTTGTATCCCAGACGAGGTGCTACAAGTAGAGGTTCAAGTACGGACTCAGGGAGACTGTTTTCAGGACAGATAATAAATCAGTATGTGGGTACTTTTACTGGCTCCAATGTACATCCTAGCAATTCAGTATGTTGTTTTACCATTTTCTGTGCCTCAGTTTCCACGTCTGTAAAATGGTAATCTATCCCACAGGATTGTTCTTAAGGATCAAAAGAATTTATTTATAAAGTATTAGAACCATGCCCAGCATATAGTAAGCACCATGTGTTTCTTACATAATGCTAAAGAAATAAGTGGATATGAGCTCTTCCACTTACATATTTTACAAGTAAAATCTTAAATTTGTTTTCAGAATTCCAAGCAATTCAAATATGATGTTATTTGTACACTTGCAGCTACAAGAAATCTACTTCAGGAAGATTCAAGTATTCCTTATGGCTAAAATCTGAAATCCCACTGAAAATGCATAAATTGGATTAGAATGGTACTGTAGTCTTTGACATTTTATAAACATCAGAAATAAGTTAAAAATTCTCTAGGCCCACCACATCTTTCTTTTCATTATTACTGATGTTGGCAAATAAGCCTATCCACTGCTAAGGTAATCCAAGAAAAATGCAATGATCAGATTTTTCTCTCTTTTAAAGAAAAGTTGCCCTTTTTCTCTACTTGATTGCTTCTAAGTTTGGTAATTAGTGGTCATTGCGGACGGTGCCCTGGGTATTTTCCTGACTATAAAGATTTCCTCGGTCTGACTTTCTAAGGTGCATGGGAGGGTTCCACAAAAATACTCAGGTCAAACCTCCATCTTCAAGTATCAGTTTAACGCATTAAAAATAGAGAGAGAGAGAACATTTGCTTTGAGAGATTTCATGCAACCCCAGGGAGAAAGACTGGAATGTTGAGAATGTAATAGGGACAGGATTTGCAAGAAAAACACATGAATTGAAACACTGCTTTCCAATCTAAAAGTTGTTTTTCATGTCTCATCTTGGCATTAATTTTTTTTAGCACCATACTGTTTCCTGGTAACAGCTTTTTTTTTTTTTTTTTTTTTTTTTTTTTTTTTTTTCTTTTTTTGGTAACAGCTATTCTTTAAGACTTGTTTCTTTTTCTTGCAGGCTGTTTATGAAACAGACTCTGTGGAGAGTAGATGGGGATAAAGACGTGCCATTTCCAGCCACCATGTAACTCCCTCCTCTCCCCAACTCCCAGCTCAGACAGCCCCTTCACTATGGCCTATACTGCCGGGCCCTGGAGGAGGTGAGGCATAGGGGGTGGGACAGAGGTGGGGAGATGATCCAAGTACTCAGGTGGAACCTGAACTACAATTTGCCCTATAGAAACAATATTTAAAAGTTAAAGTTCTTTAGTACCAAAATTATGGGTCAGTCACACTGAGAATTCCATGGGCTTCTGTGCAGTGAGCCAGGGCCCTAACATCACCTCATTGTTTCCATAGAAAAATGAAATTCTAATTCCAAATACCTTACCTCAGCTGAACTTTTACAATAGTATTTGAGTACAGACTAGTTCACATACACCCACACCCTCAGAGGCAGTTCCTCTATCAGTCAGGCTGACCATCTGTCTGTCTGTCCATCCGTTCATACGGTCTTTTTTTTTTTAATTTTTTTTCAACGTTTATTTATTTTGAGAGAGACAGGCATGAACGGGAGGCAGAAAGAGAGGGAGACACAGAATCGAAACAGGCTCCAGGCTCTGAGCCATCAGCCCAGAGAGTCTGACAAAGGCTCGAACTCACGGACCGCAGCGATCGTAATCTTGGCCGTCGGACGCCAATCGACTGCGCCACCCAGGCGCCCCATCATACGGTCTTTTTATTAAGGTATAGCATAATTGCCAAAGAAATGTGAAAAGCAAAAAGCTAAGATTGATGGAAACAAGTTACACATTTTATACTTACAGAGTTCAAAGCAATGGTTCTGTTGTAAATTCATATTCACTGAAGTTTTTATAAAAATATTAAAAATAACCTCTTTTTTATAGAGGTGATGTGGTATAAAGCACAACAAGTGAGTTTTGTAGTTGTGAATCTTAGGTCCAGCTACTTAACTTTTCCAAGCCTTGGTTCCTTATCTATAAACAGGGATGATTATATAACTCTCTAGGCTAAATTTTTTATCTGAGATAATATAAATATCTAGCAATAAATCTGGCAGACAGTGGTTATATCCCATCTTTGTCCCTCTTAACCTATTTGGCCTGTTTTTGAACTCTTTTTGTTTCACTTCAATGAAGATATTTTTACACTTAGCCATAAAGAAGGGTGAGATCTTTCCATTTGCAGCAACACGGATAGACCTAGAGGGTATTATGCTGGCGAAGTCAGTCAGACGGAAAAGGGCAAATATCATACGATTTCACTCACACATGGAATTTAAAAAACAAAACAAACAAACAAAGAGCAGAAACAAACCCACAAGTACAGAGAACAAACTGATGGTTTCCAGGGAAGAGGAGGCTGGGGGGATGGGCAGAATGGGTGAAGGGAAATGGAGGAGAGAGGCTTCCAGTTATGGAATGAATAAGTCACAGGGATAAAAGGTACAGCATAGGGAATATAGTCAATGGTACTGTAATAGCGTTGTATGATAACTACACTTGTGGTGAGCACAGCATAATGTACGGACTTGTGGAATCACGTACACTTGAAACTAATGCAACACTGTGTGACTATACTTCAAGTTAAAAAAAGTTTAATGTTTTTTTAATGTTTATTTATTTTTGAGAGAGATAAACAGAGTGCGAGCAGGGGAGAGGCAGAGAGAGAGGGAGACACAGAATCCGAAGCCAGGCTCCAGGCTCTGAGCTGTCAGCACAGAATCCGACGTGGGGCTCGAACTCACAAACCAAGAGATCGTGACCTGAGCTGAAGTCAGACGCTTAAATGACTGAGCCACCCAGGCACCCCAGAAATAAAAAACTTTTAATGTTTTTAAACCCACAGTTAATCTTCAGAATCCTTGATTTAAACTTCTCTCTATACTTGGGTACCCTATCCATCTATCTGCTTGACTTAGGTTAATGTCCAAAATAGACCCATGTGGATAGATTCACGTATAAATTCAAAAGATTCAAAAGGGCTTGTGTTGACAACCGTAATCATTTGAACTGTGCCTACTCCCCCCACGTATTTGATTTTCACAATATGTTATAGATTTCGCAGTTTTCCTTTTCTCTTTTTTCCTGGAAGAGGGATTTAGATCCTATTAACAGCCTCAACTCAGATCCCTTCTGGGATAATAGCAAAGTCAGGCTGTACTTGAATGAAGGAAGGAAAGACCTCGATGAAGGACAAGTCAGATTTTATTTAAGCAGGTTCATCAGTGTTCCTTCCCATTTACGGTTAAGTCCACCTCACCACAGAAGCAGAGGCGAGAGTGGGGAGTGCATTTGGCAGCCAGAGCAAAGGCGTCCAAGCGCTGGGCAGAGTCTCCCGTCCACTGGGGTCCTGCTGGCGTCAGATGAGCTGGAATCCGCTCTGCTACTTTGTGTGCCCAGGACTCTGTCCCCTCCTGACACCCTCTCGCTGGCCCCTATTCCTGGCATCTGTTCCTCTACTGGCAGTCAGACTTGGGGGATCTGCCTGCGGGTTAGAATTTGACACCCTCGCTCCTTATTCTGTGGTGTCATCCTCAATTTTTTTCGGGCAACTTCGTGTCCACTGAAGATCTGGTCCTGCCTCTGCCAAGCCTGATAGCAGGTCAAAAAAACATACCCTCGGTTGTGAGGAATCCCGAAGGCCTGGGAGATTTAGTATCATTCTTGGCCCCCCAAAATCACACATATAAGCCCATATTCTAAAATGTTATTCTCTTTAGTTTATAATAAGATCAGAAAGTTTCTTGGCTTTGAATTGAAATATAGGGGTTTTTCTCCCCTCTCATAAAAGATGCGTTTGTATCATGAGGCTAATATGCAGCCAAAGCTCGGAGATTTCCATAACGACACCACATGTAACCGTGTATGTGTGTGTGTGTGTGTGTGTGTGTGTGTGTGTTCAAGGATCATTCAAGTGGCTTAATACGAAACCAAAAGGTCTGGTCCTACATTAATCTTCAGGGGTGATGATTTTAATTTTGTGGTGCAGAAATAAAGCCAAATAAATAGGCAAAAAGTAAACCTACAAAAATGGCTTTGACTTACGAATCCACTACTACATCTCTGAGGGAAATTTTAGATAAAAATGGTCCAGGGGACAAAGTGCATAATTAACGATGAGAAAACGATTCCTTCAAGTTCCATAATGAAGAGTTCTCCCCGCCGTGATCATCTGTCCTGAGTTTTATTCATGAAAAAGTCACGGTTACTTCTTGCCTCTGTCCCCTTCATTCCAGTACTGCTCAGTCTGCATTTCTGTGAGCCGGGAAATCGTGCGCTGAAACGCAAAGATTTCCTCTTCTCCGGTAAACATGGAAAGTCCTTCTGCTGAGTCCTGGTTACCAAAACACAAAACAAAACAAAACAAAACAAAGGAAACAACCCAGCACCAATTAAAACTACCACAAATGAAGATTTACAAAACTAAGTACAGGGTTAAAACAACTTTTTAGGTTTACTTTTTTTGATTTAGATTTTAAAATGTTTCATACACTTTTTTTCATATATAATAATCTCTTTTCATATATAATAATCTCTCTGGATACTAGAGAATCCACTAATTTAAGCCAATAATCAATGGACAGAACAAATTACCAGGGAGAAAATGATAGGCAAAACATAAGAAGAATAATTAAAGCTGAAACAATGCCCCAAAATCCAAATATGAACATTTTTGCATGAAGAAAGTTTTTGCATGATGAAAGTTTTCTGCAGACTCTGAAGGAAGGACACGTCAGACAGAAAAGAATTCTTTCTCCAAAAGTGCACACCAGAAGGAAGTAATGCCCAAAACACAGCAGTTCTGGCAAGTTTGGAAGAGGCTGACACGTCCCTCTGAAGCGTCACAGGCAGGGCCACATTCCCAACCAGAGGCCCTGAGGATAAACTCCTGCAGAACCTTTTCCTAATGGGCTGACACAGAGGTCCCCTGTGGGCCTAGAGAGTGGCCTGGAAGCCTACTTTGGGAAGGCAGAGCTGCCCTTTGGTCTTGAGCTGCTGGGACATTTTGTGATCCCACCAACCACGGTTAAGTCGGGGATCCCTCAGTGAGGGCAGCAAACAGCCTGGGACTGGTGATAGCAACATGGGCTTGTGGCCAGTAAGTGAGAAAGAGAAATTGTGTCTCTTTCCTTAGGGGTTTCTACCACATTTCTTCAGAGAAAACTTCTTGACTCCTTAGTCCACGTATTCCTGGTTGACCTACTGCAAAACTGCATGACCCTGTGGTCCAAAGCCCTCATTCCTTCATAGATTATTGGCCCCACATGTTGAGCTTACTTTACCCTACATGTGAACCCTGATCCTAGGGAGAAAAACTGAAGCGCCAATGATTTAAAAAACTTTAGAAACTGAGATGATATAGCCCCTCCAGTGTATTTTTTCAAACAGTAAAAGATATTATTTGGATACACGTATCGTTCTTAAAGAAACCACCATTTTGAAAGTTCTTAGCATACAGATTTATAAGTAGCTATTTATTTTTACACATAGGTTTAAGCAGTCATATTTTGAAAGTTCACTTTTAAAAAAAATATTCAAAATTTATTTTTTAATTTTATTTTCTTAATGTTTATTTATTTTTTGAGAGAGACAGCATGAGTGGGCAAGGGCAGAGAAAGATGGAGACACAGAATCCAAAGCAGGCTCCAGG